TTGGCACCAGGGAGGGGTGAGCTTTGTCCTGGCCCCCGGCCACAGCAGGACCTGCTTATTAAGAGATGGTGCACAGGGTTCATTTTTTATTCTGGGTAAAGCAACGCACAGAGTGTTGCTGCCTACCCAGCAGAACCTCTTGCTGCTTGGTAATGCTGGGACATCACCTGTGTTTTCTGCAGCAAGAAGGAAATAAATTGTTTTTCAAAGTTAAGTGGGTTGCACAGTCTCAGATGGGGAAGGGTGGGATGGTACAAAGACCTGGCTGCTCCAGCTTGTGGTTTCTGCAAAAACTTGTGTCTTCTGCGTGGTGATGTAGCATTGTGTTAGAGGAACCACCTGCCTGGTCCTGCACAAAGGCTTTTCCAGCTTCTGTGGCCTTATAGGACAGTTCTCAAGTGGGAGAGCAGGGAGGTGATGGCTGCAGGCCTGAAATGCCGGCTGTAATTTGAATTTCTGCTGACAAGTCCTGCCTTGTGAACGTGAATGAATATGTATGTGGTGCCAGCAGGGCCAGCCCTGCAGTTTTCCTCTCTGCCCAAGATGCTGCAGGCACTTGAGCACGGCTTTGCTCTGGGCAAGTTCACTGGCAGTCTGGACCTGCAGTCAGGTCTGGCATGGAGATATGGGGATGGGGGTCAAGAAGGTTTGAAAAGCACCATCTGAAATGCTACGTGGTGACTTGGCTCAGCCATGCCTGCCCTAAGGGAGGGAAGAGTCTTGTCTTCTTCCACTGTGTTGGTGTTAAACCCTGGTTTGGGGATGTGCCAACCCCTTCCCTCCTCGGTTGCTTTGAGGCTCCTGTCACAGTGGGGATGGAATGGAGGGAGGCAGCCCCCACCCCAGCTGCTCAGAGCAGCTCCAGTGATCAGCAGCCACTTGTAGTTAAAAATGAGACTAAATTAATCCAATTTTTCCCATTCTTCACTTACATCTTTGCTTCTCCTCCTTTTCCTCCCTGTGTTGGGACTGAATCATCAGCGTTATCCAACTTGAGGCATCACCAAAGCTTGAATACCTGGTTTGTCTCCCCACTGCTTGTCTGTCTGTCCGTACCTCTGTGTTTCAAGTGTTTCTGAGTTGCAATTCTCTGTAAACAGGAAAGAACCAAAATCTCAGCTAATCCACTGGTCTCACTGAAGACAAACGTGGGGAAGGCTGGTGGCTTTCAGGGTAGAGGTAATAGAGCAACTATTTCAAACACCCTCCAGGGTTTCTGGGTTAATGCCCCCTGCCCAGGGCAGTGGCAGAGGAAGGGACAGAGCTGTCTGAAATGGTCAGACTTTTTTTTTTGCCATTTGTGCTGGTCCACAGTCGAGTAGGCATTTAGCAAATGAAAGGTGACAAAGAAAATCCTCTCCCTTTCTTAGCTACTCATGTTTAATGCTTGTATTAATGTTTTACTTGTCAGTTGAAACAACCTAGTTGTCAGTGGACAGTAAATTTAGAAATTTAGATTCTTTTGTGTAACAGAAAAACAGAAACACGTTTCAGTTTCTTTTTCTCTGAAAGAAACTAAGGATTCCAAAATCTCATTATATTCTCCTCTTGGCAAATCAGTTACAAATGAACGGGAGCCAGAAGCAGGTACCCAATTTTCCCATTTCTTTCCCCATAATGGAGAATGTGTGTGGTCAGGTGGCAAAGGGATGCACAGAAAGCAGCCGGCTGCAGACATGGTTCAAACTTTTCAAACCCATTTCAGAATCTTTATTGGGGGGAAAAAATATATATATATAAATAATTAATAATCAGAGCATCTCAACTGTTATTCAAACACATTTAATAAACAAAGAGAAACAGTAGCAAAGGGCACTGACACGTGTGACAAACTGTACAAAAACCTCTGGGTTTTGCAGGCAAACCCCAGGGGAGGAGCCCGCGGCCCAGCTGCAGGACTGGGGAGCTGCTCCGTCCCACCGCCCCGCAGCGAACCTTGCCTCCTTTGCCTCAGCCCACTCAGTCACCCCTGAGAAAAAGAGATTATTTTTTTATTTTTAAATGTGCAGAAACAAAGACACTTTAAGAAGTTATTTCCAGTCTTGCCACAATGGAACAATTTAGGCCACTGGGAAAGTTTTACAACAAACCCCAAAGTGTGCTACTCTCCATTCCCAGATTAATGCTTTGACGTGAACCTTCCCAAGAGGCACAAGCTCTTGGCTACCAGCAGATCTACCCCTACTCACCTACCCTACTCACCACAACACGCTACCTTTTTTAGAGCGAATGGGACAAATTTCATCCTAATTCAGTGCTAGTTTTGAGATAGTTGTGACTGAGTGAAAGGCAATGGAGGGAAAAGCCCTGTCTTGAGCACAGAATGGATGCAACTGGTGCACAACGCTGACACCGGCCTTGGTCTCAGGGTAAAGGTGACCTAGCACACTCAGGAAGGGAGAAATCCTCCACTGGGAATGTACCTGCTCTGGATGGACTGCGTGCCTGGTCCTAAATACCACCAAAGAACTTGAGTGTCAGTACCCATGACTGGTTTTCTACCACAAACTTGTTCTGTTGAACTTAAAAAGACCCTACAATCAAACCCAAAGTCTTCAATCCCATCGTTGCTGCAGAGAGCAGAGCAGAGGGGAAAACCAAGATGCAACTTTGAGAGTCTTTCTTGTAAGGATGAATTAAATAGCTGTTCCACTCAACCAGTAATGGTAATTTTCAGGCTCTCTGTGGCTCAGGGGGAGAGTGATGGCATCACTCTTCCATCAGGCAATCCTCTGGTGGGCTTCACCACATATGGCATTTTTGGTGATATGAAAAAGCAAAGAGGTATAATTTTTTTTTATCTATTTGAGCTGTACTGGACAGAAAGTCTCCCTTTGCAAACAGTGCTGCTGTGAGCTCCGTGGTTTGAACAGCAAGGTGCTTGGCTGACATTGATGTGACAAAAGCAGCTTGACCAGTTCCTGTTGCCTTTAGTTTGATATTCCTTGACCAGTTCCCAGAATCTCCCTCCTCTGAGGAAGGGAAAGAAGACAGATGAGTGTTAAAGGGCTTCTTTAGGCTGCTAACTTGTATACATGCACGTCTTGAGTTCTTAGCTGTGAGCACAGACGGACAATGACTGAGGCTACAAGATACTGACAAGAGGAGAGATATCTATACACATCACAGTGTTATTTAGGCCCAGCCAAGGCATATGGTCTAATCACACCAAAATCATCTCACCACATGATCAACAGGGAAGATGGAGGGAAGAACAAGAGCTGGGTTCTTCAGCACGATGGCAAGCCAGCTGCGTTTCGACAGCCTGTAACTGACACCACGTGAATTCAAAGACATTTGGCACAATCTGTTGTTAGCAGGGTTAAAACTAGCACAGATAATTAACCAGTCATTCTTGAGAACGAGGCAAAGCCTTCACCGGAGGAGGTGTGTTGGCAAAGCAGGATGGGAGAGGACAGGCAAGAGTACATACGGGACTGAGAAGAGGCAGAGTGCGGCGGTGTCACTCGGTGTTGTTGCTGCACGTCCTGTTTGCTGAGCTGGTTGATGGACCATTGGCAACGTCCTGCTACTGCAAGGCCCTGTCAGCAACAAGTGGTAAGATGGGAAACCTGCCTAATTCTATCTCAAAACTTGAAGGAAGCCACAGGTAGCTGAAGTCCTCCAGAAAGGAGCCAAACTCCTCAGTCCAGGTGAGGAATTTTCTGATACTTTATTGAGAAACATCTGCTCGGAGCTTGTCAATGTCTGTGAATTCCAGCATCTCTGAAGCTTTGCGTTTAATGTCAGTTTAGGACTTGATTCAAAAAGACCCAAGTGCCTGGATGCTTGGGCTACAAAGAACAAAGCCAAGGTGAAAGGGGAAACCATGCAGCAAATTCCTAAGAAATTCCATTTACCAGACTAGGAGGTACATGCCCTTGGTTAGGGATGGCACAGATGAACAGAGGGGAACCAGTGACTGCAGTCTGGCTAAGATTAGAATTCAAGAGAGGCACAAACGAACATTTTGCACATCCATTCAAGGCATTCCAAAAAAAAAAACCAACCCAAAACTCAACCAACCAAACAAAAAAAAGTCACAGAAGTCAACACATCACTTTGGACAAGAAACGTTACAACAGTTTGGCAACTTTTCACCAAAACCCCCCCACCCCACCCCAACTCTGTGATGCCCCTCTGTAATTTGGGGTGATCTCTTAAAGGTGGGGATATAAGGGGGCTGCAGATAAATCACTGAATGTAAATAGGGGATCTCCTCCGCAAAGGATCTAATGGGTTAAAACAAACCTACCTGCTTGCTACAGTACAAAAGAAATTCTGCCTGAAGTCCTCCCTTGGTGAGAAGGAAGGAGACAGAGAGCCCACACTGCTGGAGACAAACAAGGCAAAGCTGAACTTGGCAGCAACAAGTCCCTAAACTTGTGACTTTGCACCAGGCTAAGATATGGCCGTGGCAGGGTGCTGGAGGGGAAAGTGTCACCACTCTCCCTCAGCAGAGAAGTGTAAAGGACATAACTGTCACTCTAACACTATTCTGGGTGAGCACAGGTCTCTGTTGATGCACGTGAAGTAATGGGCTTCAGAAGACACCAGGAGCCTGTACGTACTAGTGTGAACAGCCAGACCTGTGTTCGGTGTACACACAGCTCCCCTCCCCTGAGGACCTAAACTCAGCTCTTAGGAATTGAACAAGGAACAAATACAAAGCAAGGATGGAAAAAGTTTGTGTGGGTTTTTTTTATGTGTAGTTGTTTTGTTCCCCCTTTTAAAGACCTGTTCTTCTGACCTGGGGGGGGCTGGCTGATTGGGATGGGGAGCATTGCAAAGTCCCTGTGCTTTTCTGGTGGCAGCCCTGGGTGCAAGAAATGGCACAGCTCAAATACAGATCTTCCCACCTGCGCCAGCCTGGGGAAGGTGGGACTGATGACAACAGCCTGTGGACCTGAGCAACCTTCACAAAGGCTCTGACTGGGAATCCAGCCCAGACAATTTTGGAAAAAATTCAATACAGCGCTGGCCAAGAAAATAAAACAAATACTTGTGGAAAGGATTATCCCACTGGAAGAGGTTTTTTTTCCTTCCTTGGTTTTCAGGGTAAGAGGGAAGCCTTTGGTTATGACCAGAATTATTTGCCATTGGCAGGACAGGCTCGGCTTTGCTTTGCATTAGCTTGTTTACTGTACAGGGGCAAGGCTGCTCTGCGGAGAGATGCTCTGCCCAGCTAGGCTGTGACATCTGAGAGTTCTCCTGGAGTGGACACTTGAATTACATTCGGGATCCTCGCTCTTGAAGAATCTGTAAAAGAAGAGAGCTTCTATAAATACCTTGGACAAGTTTAGATGCAAAAGTTTCATGTTCAGAGTCCTTGCTTTTTGCAGAGAAAGGAGAGATGGACTAATGTGAGAGGAGCTTGTTGGCTTTTATCTTTTATGCTGTCATAACAAATAACAGGCTGGTAAAAGCTGATTGAGCCCTTCTCTAGAAATCCTGCCTAGCTGCCTGCCAGGAGTCAAGAATGTCGCCTTTTGTTGCTATCCTGGGGAAAAAAAAAACAAACAGTGGATTGGGAGAGGGGAAAAAAAGCTTGTCTCTCCCTGCAACATCCTTCAACTACTAAATATGACCAAGCTCAAAGGTCCTTGCTCTGCTGTCCTCCTTTTTCAAGTCTATCTCTTTCCATCAATTTCTTTTTTTGTCTTAATTTGAAACATACAAAGAGCCTTAGCTCTTGTCCTGCAGTAAAACATGAAATCTTCCAAGAGGGGAAGATGATGCATAGAGGAGGAAATAGGAAAGCTGGTACACAGAACTGCTATGGCAAAGGATGGATCTGCTGGCCTAAGAAGGGCTTTTTTATTTGCATAGGGGAATTCAAGTTAATACACCTGAGCAGATGCCTTACCTTTGCCTTCTCGCTGGGCTCCTTGACAATGCCGTTGGTAGAATTGTTGAGCTCCCTGGACACGACACAGAGGAATTCTGCCTGGTCTTCGTTTCCATAGTTATAGGAAGATCCAATGCTAATCAGCTGTGCAACAGGAGAAAGCTAAGGTAACTATCAGTAAGTCTTGACTTTTGCTTTTTTCCTACAATTGCTTGGTGAGGTTATGACTGTCCAGTGGACCCGTTCTGGACTTGAAGTGTCTCCCTGTAGCCTCCAGTGTCACAAGCTTGTCTGTGTTTTTAAGGCAGGGACACAACCCTACCTCCACAGGCCTCTAGTGCCACCTGGAGCCCCAGGCAGAAATTCCAGCCTGAAGCCATAAAGCTGAACACAACATTTTCCAATTACTGAGGGCAGAAAAAGGGAAAACACGTCAAGATTTTGCCATATATAATATGCAGCTCATTCGGACATGGGGCAGGCAATGCAGCCTTCCTGGTCCAGACTATGTTGAACTCAGCTCTCAACTTGTGTTTTGACTTTGATGTGTAAAAACTGGAAAGGCAATTCTTTACCACAGACAGATGTTAGATTAACTAGGGGACATGAGGCAAACTGGCACCATTCTTTACATAGATGCTGTCAAAATGGAGTTGGATATCTGTATAAATGGGATTATATTCTATTACTGTTGTGATGAGGGCTCTGGACTCGATCCAAGAAATCCCATCTGTCTCATTTATCATTATTACATTAAAAGGACATCCTGGAGTGCAGAGCTAATTTGTCATTTACAACTAAGTTCTGCTTTCCAGATAATAAATCTAAGTAATCTGAAGAAAGCAATGTGGATCTTACCAACTGTGTCTATCTAGGAAACTTTAATATGCAGCGTGCACCCAAACTTCCATGTCCTAAGGGGTTTTAGAAGACAGAGCTCTGTATTTATACGTGAGACAGATGCAGTCAACAGTGTTCCTAGACAGATGACTATCTATGCAGTTACAGTGCAGCTGCAGGGAGACTGGAGGGGCTGTTTTTTTAAATAGGTTTTGATGTTTGTGCTGAGGGCAAAAGATAGACACGAGATAAAAAAAAAAATATTTTTTTTTTTCTTTTGTTTCCCTGTTCCCTGTCTTGACTGTTTTAAGCTCTTGGATATTTCAATACCACACACACCACTATTTATTCAACAAACACAAAGTATCTTTTGATAAAGATAGCAATTTTCCAGACTACTGAACTGTAGATAGACAGGAGAATGGATTTCTGCTTAAAATAGCAAATTTCTATTCCATCCTTAATTTAAGCAGGACTGAATGGTACAAGGCAGAGAACCTGAAAGGCCACACGCTCCTCTGAGAACCCAAGCCTGACAGACAATAAGGCTGTAACAGCTTTTACCAGTTCTGGCTTTCCTGCAGGTTTCTGAACCAGTCTTTTTGATGTTATGAAGTGACTGGATGCAAAGAGCCCATGAAAAGAATGTCTGCCCTGTTCAATCCCTGGCATCCAGGCAAAGATTTAGCAATAGGCTCTCTTTGTCCCCAATATGGAGATCAGTTATTGACTTTCCTAACGTGTCTCTGCATGCCAAGTGGTGTGATTTGGGGGAGGGTAGAAGCCAGCTGGGTTGCACATCTGGGAAAAGACCTTGACAACAGGCTGCAGGAGGGCAAGAACAGCTCCTGATGGTGGGAGTGTGCTGGAGTGAGATGTGCAGGAAATGTTCCTGGGGTGCCTGCAGTGTATAGGAAGGAGGCTGGCAGGGATCTCAGTGGTGTGTGCAAAGGTTGTGGATGGCAGAGGGAGGGCTGGAGGGAAGGAACTGGGAGGGAACATTAGCATTTGCTTGTAACTAGAATTTTGACCCTATCATCATAGATTTGAAAAGCAAGACTTTGAAAGCTCTAAAGGTGCAGATTCCAGCGTAGGGCACTGCCTACAGCCTTTTGGTTTTGGGGGTGTACATGTATGTGTGTGTGAAAGGCAAATCCATTAAGTAAACTTCTGCACAGCAAAGCCTGGCTGTTGCAAAACTGCATTTCCATGAAGCAGCGAGGGGCTCTCAGTCACAAGATTTCACCATCAGCTCACAGGGGTGAGAAGTTTTTTTGGGTGCCTCTCCACCAGGGAGTTTTCAGGCATTACAAAACAGATATGTGCAGACAAGTGATGCAAAGTGCTGTTGCTAATTCTGTGCCTCGCTTCATGTCAGCACGTTTCCCACAACATCCACTTGTACTGAAGCTGGACTAATTGGGAAGGCAGCAGAGCTGTAAGCCACAGAGCCTCTTCTGCAGTTTCTTAATATAGTATTAATATATATAATATATACATGCAGTATGGCTCATTTCCACTTCTCCATCCTCCTAAATAAGAGGACTGTATTTGATTCCAGAAACCAAATCTGGAAGCAATGCCATATGCAACTTCAGTGACACCCAGCCCTGAACCTGCTGTGTTACAAAGGCATCTGCAGGGAGTGTATTTCTCATGTCACTCAGCTCCTCTTTAGCGAATGCAGGCGTCGTGGCTTTGAGCTTCCAGAAAAATCATGCTGTGTTTTTTTTCATGGCTCTTGTAATTTTCCTGGATAAAACTGTTGTACTGGGGCCTGTATGTGATGAAATGCAGGAGAAGGGAAGAATTGCTCTGGGATTTGACAAGAATACAAGAAGTCCTGAGAGGAAATTAAATCTCTCTTGGCAGTTTGAGTGAATTCTGCCTTTTTCTCGTCGGTTATTTTACACGAGTGGACTACATTCAGTTCAGACTGCTTATCTGGAGCAGTAGAGCAGTGTAAAGTGCAATTTCATACCAAACTCTCTTTATTTCATATGCAGCTTTCAAAATTCTGCTGCTCTTTGGTAACGGTACCTGTTCGAATTTCCACCCGTCAGACATTGTGGACACCATCTGTGTGAGCTCTTCCTCTTGGCACTGCAGGACTCTGTACACGTGCTTCACAGGTCCCTAAAGCATGGAGAATAAAAATAAGTTCAAGTTTAGTAGCTGTTCTATGAGTATCAAGTTAGGAAATTAATAAGCCTCTCCTGCTCTGTTGTCTTGTTATTTGAGGAACCCTGAGCCCCACAGGCTTTCTGAGGTTTCACCCTTCTGACCATCCAGCTGATTCTAAAACAGGTACACACACTTGGAACACTTCTCTCAAAAGCCTTCTAGGCATCTCAGAGCCAGTGCAACCAAAACTTCTTTGGGTTTCAAAGCTATTTACTGCTTTTTGAAAGTGCTTCTCTTCTGCAATTGAATCTATTTGGTGTGTTAATATCAGCTGAGCAGCAGCGGGAAAAATTGTCACAGAGAAACAGATATAAAGGGAAGAAAATGGTTTAGAGAAGGAAGAGTTTGAACTATTCTTTACTTACTAAAGTAGTATGTTTTGCTTTATAACTTTGCTCCTGGCCCCTCTTGTTTAACTGTTCATTGTCTTTCCCTGCAGTGCTAATAACATGACTCAGTGGTCTGTGTTTATAAAACCAGAATGGATACTCTTTCCTAGTTGTGCCTTGGATCTACCTAAAAGCACTTATTTCCCGTTAAAGATGACTACTAAACCACAGAACTGCTACTAAAGTGTCTACAGCCACGCATCTTCCTACTGTGCTGCAGAAAATGACTGACTTGATAACACAAATGTTCCTGTGCATTACTTGAGAGGTTCTGTTCTCGTTATCCCGTATCCGCTCCTTCACCAGCCGCACGAGAGATGCGATATTGTAAAACTCGGCTTCTTCCAGTACCCCTAAGAAAGGAACCAAAAGTTAGAGACAAATTCTGTTACTTGGTACAGGGTTAAATGAAGATGATTCTGCTCTGAGGATGTAACACTTGCTCCTGGCTCCAAATCTAGCCCAGATGTGAGAAAGACCTCTGAATGCAGAATAGGCTGTGCCCCATTTCATGCTCCCAGGCTGGAAGAAAATGGTCAACTAGTTGTCATCAACTTTTGTGACTTAGAGCACCTTTAAGAAAGATTATTCCCCTTTTCCCTGGGATTGTCAGAAGCCTCGTAGTAGAATCGCTGTTTGTTTGACAGTAGAGAACTGCTGTCTGTGGAGGGAGAGGAGCTGTGCTAACACATCTTTTGCTCTGCTAACAGAAGCCTCTGAGCCAAGCAGAACAGTGATGGTTTGTATTGGAAGCTGCAGGCCTCTGCCTTCAGGAAGATACAGAATCTAATTATTTAATCCCTGTTAATGAGCATCCTTCTGGTACTAACAAACAGCACTCCTGGGAAATGTGGCTTGCTCACACCCTGCCACATCCCTGTGTCGGGAACCCCATGCGCTCAGGCACGTTTCTGATGGTGTTGGGATGCTGCTATCAAACAGCACTTGCAGTTCTCCCCCTGTATTTTGCTCTTACCTTCTTCTGCAAGCTCCTTGTTCATGATGAGCTTCCCATGTCGGAGGTAGTTCAGTATTGGACCAAAATATGTGGGGTCTCTATCGATGAGATACGCCCCTGTCTCATCCTGTGGAGTGCGCACAGGAATGAATCAGGGATGGTTAAGATGTACCAGGAAAAAATCAATTTCAGTTGAAAGCAATAAATTGGAACAGTTTCTCTTTGAGAACCTGGATTAATTTGCTTGTGAAAGGTGTACTAATGATTTCACATTTAAATCAACTTTTTTTTTTTCCAGTATCTGTACTCAGCTACACACGCTGCAGCTCAACAATGCTGGCAGGTGCTTCAAATGAAGCACTTCTGCAGAGTTTATATACCTGGAAAGAAAAACAGGGCTAAGCAGTCTTTCATAGAATCACAGACTGGTTTGGGTTGGGAGGGACCTTAAAGCTCATCCAGTCCCAACCCCCCTGCCAGCAGCAGGGACACCTTCCACTAGACCAGGTTGCTCAAAGCCGTGTTTCTTCACTGCAACAATAAAAACCCCAAACCTGGCAGTTCTGTTGTCTAAATTTATTTTCCAGACTAGTTTTACTAGGAGGAGACTCTGGAGGAAAACTGGATTTTCAGTTCCAGTTAACAGCACATGATGGTTTAAGTAGCTCTTTTTTTTCCCCTCTCCTTTCTACTCCTGAAAACGCACATCGCAACACACCAGCCGCGGCTCCAGCGTCACAGGAACTATTGCAATCAAATAACCAACAACTCACAACTAAAAGCATCTCTTGAGCCAGCTACGAAGCACTGACAAAGCCTGTGCAGGACTCTTTCATATCACTCCCTTAAATCACTCTAAAGCAAGGTTTGTCCTGCCACTCTGCTCTAAAGCAATTAAAACCTGTGAAAGATCAGCCTGAAACGTCATCGTCTCTGTTCGCTGTTGTGATCACCACCAGGATTTATCTTTTGATGACACTCTGAACAGAGTGACGAGAGACCTGACTAATTCTCAGTCTGATCTACTCACAAGATATTTACAAAGCCTACAGCAAACCTGCAATTCCAGGAAGAACTGTGCAAAATCCTTACGATAAACGGCAGTAACGTCAAAACGATCCACCCCCGTAAGGAATGTGCACTGCTGCCTCGTGTGAAAGTGAAATAGGTGTTAAAACAGTGACACGTGCTCAGGGGGAATAATCACTGCAATTCCTGGTTCTAGGAAAGTTTCCTTCCAGTTCCCCCTCTGCTGTAACCACTGTTACACAGGAAGGTGCTGGTTTGCTCCCTGAGGGGAGTCACGTCATGGCAGGAGGTGGAGGGGATCGGTCCCTGCAGCACCGGGGTGTTGCAGGCACAAGGACAGACTCTGAGCCCTGTTCCTGGCCAAATCTGTGGCCCTGTAATGGGACAGGAGGGACAAGGAGATGGCATGGGTCACAGTGACATGTGCCCCAGTGACTGTGGGAGTGGGGCTGCTGTGGGGATCGGCTGAGCCACACTGCGGGGGATCAGAGCAACATCAGGGGGTGCTGGCCCTGGGGACACTGGCAGTGGGGCTGTCACCCTGCCCGTACAGC